TTTAATTGAACATTCAGTTGCGTTATCCATACACAAAATGGTTTGACAGAATCGTTTATTAAACATCTACAACTTATTCCTAGACCATTACTTATGAAAATAAAACTCTCAACTTCGGTTTGGGGTCATGCCATATTACATGCTGCATCATTGGTTCGTATTAAACCAACTGCCTATTATCAATATTCACCTTTACAACTAGCGTTTGGTTATGAACCTAATATTTTTTACCTACGGATTTTTGGTTGTGCTTTCCAAGTCCCTATTTTACCCTCACAATTTACTAAAATGGGTCCCCAACGAAAACTTGGGATTTATGTGGGTTTTGATTCACCATCAATTATTAGGTATCTTGAGCAATTAACGGGTGATTTATTTACTGCACGTTTTGCAATTTTCATTTTGATGAAATGACTTTCCCAACTTTAGGAGGAGAAAAACTACATTCTGAAAAACAAGATAAAATTATTTGGAATGAAACAACTCTATTTCACTTTGATTCCCGCAACAATCAATGTGAGCAAAATGTTGAAAAAATAATTCATTTACAAAGAGTTGCAAATCAATTACCTGATGTATTTGTTGACGCAAGAAAAGTGACAAAGTCATATGTTACAATAGAAAATATTTCAGCAAAAATTGATGTCTCTTTAGGATAATCTGCTGTAACAAATGAATCTCAAATAAGCCAGAGGCGTGGTCGACCAGTTAGTTCAAAAGACTCTGTACCTCGAAAAAGAAAAGTACATGAGAAAAATCAATCAAAAACTTTGGAAGAAGTCACATTATAAAAGATTGATGAATCAGATATTGAAAATACGGTTCCTGAAGAACTACAAGTGTCCGAAAATAATGAGATTTCAATAAATTATATGTTATCTCATAAATTGTGAGAACGAAATAATATTGTTATAGACAATATTTTCACCTTTAATGTGGCTCTTGATATTATGCAAAATGAGGATCCCGAACCACAGTAGGTTAAAGACTGTAAAAATATAAATGATTGGCCAAAATGGAAAGAAGTCATACAGGTAGAATTGAATTCTTTGGAAAAACGAAAAGTGTTTGAACTTGTAGTTCAAAAACCTGAAAATGTAATCTCTGTTCAAGTTCAAACACCTGAAAATGTAATCTCTGTTGGATACAAATTGGTTTTTGTACGAAAAAGAAATGAAAATAATGAAATTACTAATTACAAAACCCGATTAGTAGTTCAAGATTTCTCACAAAGACCAGAAATTGATTACAAGGAGATATATTCTCCTGTAATGGACACCATCACTTTTAGATTTTTAATTAGTTTGACTATGTCACAAAATCTTGATATGTGTCTTATGGATGTAATAATTGCATATTTATATAGTTCACTATATATATATATATATATATATGAAAGTCTCTGAAGGACTTATAGTACTAGGAACAAACGATATATGCTCGAGAACTATATTCTCAATTAAATTGCAAAGATCATTATATGGATTAAAAAGATCTGGATGCATATGGTATAATCGCCTTAGCGAATATTTGTTGAATGAAAGTTATAAAAATAACGATGTTTACCATGTGTTTTCATAAAGAAAACAAATAGTGGATTTGTAATTGTGCCAATTTATGTTGATGATTTAAATTTAATTGGAACTCCTAAATAGTTCAACAAAATTGCTGATTATTTGAAAAATAAATTTGAAATGATGGATTTGGGAAAAACCAAATTGTCTCGGATTGCAGATTGAACATTTCGCAGATAGATTATTTGTTCAACAATCTACGTATACAGAAAAGTTTTAAAATGTTTTTATATGGATAATGCATATCCATTGGCATCACCTATGGTTGTTCAATCAATTGATATGAAAAATGATTCATTTCGTCCACTTGAAAATGGAGAAAAGGTTCTTGGTCCTGAAGTATCATATCTTAGTGCAATTGGAATATTAACTTATCTTGCAAATTGCACTCGACTCGACATAGTTTTTTCTATAAATCTCATTGTAAGATATAGCTTTATATCAACTCAAAAGCATTGGAATTGTGTTAAACATATTTTTCGTTACCTAAAGGGTACTATTGATTTGAGATTATTTTATTCTCAAAAGTCGAGATCTGCGTTAGTGGGATATGCAGATGCAGGTTATCTATCTAACCCACATAAAGTTAAATAAAAAACAGGTTATGTGTTTACACAAAGTGAAATGACTATATTATGGAGATCTGTGAAGCAATTCTTGATAACAATATCTTCAAATTATTTTGAAATTATTACAATCCATGAAGCAAATCGAGAATGTATATGGTTGAGAAACATAACCCATCATATTCAAGCATCATGCAGATTAACTTCAACAAAGGATAGTCTAATAATTTTGTATGAAAACAATGCAGCTTGTATCGCACCACTCAGAGGAGGCTATATCAAAAGTAACAGAACGAAGCATATTTCTCCAAAATTCTTTCATACATACAAGTTTCAAAAGAATGGTAACATCAATATCCAACAAATTTTCTCAAGTGATAATGTGATCGATTTATTTACAAAAGCATTGCCAACATCTACATTCAAAAAATTAGCTCATGTGATTGGAATACCCCGACTCAAAGATTTTCACTGATCAACATTAAGGGGAGTAGCTGTACTTTTTTCCTTCGCTTAGATTTTGTCCCATCCAACTCAAATTCTTCCAACAATATATTATTGTTTCTCTGTCCGGGACATGTATAACACCCGAGTGAGATTACGATTATAGAATCTCAAATTCATTTGATTAGTTTTTCTTCTTAGGAGTGCAACTAATTGACTGAACAAACTGAGCATTGGAAAAATGCTAATAAAACTACAAATTGAATGTGCATCAAGAGAAATATTATGAAATATGATTAAGTTAAGAAGCTTATGAAAATTTATATGGATATTCGGAACATCAAATATTTTCAGAAAACCAAGACATATTTGGACAAATACCTTGTTAAAGATTTATGGGTGGAAAAGAAAAGATATTACACGGAAAAAATTGTTGTAGTAGCTAGACTGCACGAATCCTGCACTGTGTGTCTCGTTTGCTTTCATACATGTAAATGGTTTCACTGTTTCATTATCTGCTTTCCTATTCTCTTTTAATTTCTTTCAAGTAGGAAAAAGTATTATTCCTTCGAACCAATGCAATACTAAAATGTGTCAGAACCATGATTAGAAAATTTATGGTGAATCGAAATCCTAAGTGATCCATACAATTTAGAAGACTCTATGTTTGTGTAGCACGACCTTATTAATAATCCTCTATTATGTAACTTTATATCCAATTTAGAAGACTCTAGGTGGTACAATATCGTTCAAGACAAGACCCCATATTCTACAGGGAAGATCATTTAGTCTGAAAGTGAAAGAAATGATTAAAAAAAGAACAATCATTTGAGGCGGTGGTAAAGACAGTAAAAGGGGAAATTTTGCAGCAATAGTTCCCATTCTACAGAAATTAGTGCAACTTGATGTCTAATTTATTTTTCTTAATGACGTAGCTTCTAATCCATTAAATTTGTACAGAGTTAACCGTTTAGGCCTATTTTTCATCATTGTAACCGTTAACGAGCACGTGCACTCGTTTAGTGTTTGTTTGAGTTTTATCAACTTTTCAATCGATCAAACTTCAATTTCAACCACATATTTCACAATATTTATAATTTTTATCAATTTTTCAACATGTTTCATCATTTTTTATCAAAATTTTCTTATTAAAAATTGGGACTCGTTTGCACTTTTTGAAAAAATTGAGAATATGGTTATAATTAATTCATTTTTTCTTTTTCGTTTTATTTAAAGATGAGGGTAAATTTATCATTTCACGAGGCTTTATTGAGAAAATATTGCATTTCACAAAGTTTGGGCCATCTAAGAGATTCTGCACCAAAATGAAAGGTTATAGGAGTATTTCCCAAATAAGTAATTGTTAAAATATTGCATTCTTCTTCAGTTATTGCTATGCCATCTACCGCCATGACTCCCCTCTCCCACCAAAACCAAAAACCATATACCCTTGTTGGCTTGAACTTCAAGAACATAGTTGATGGATAAATAAAAGGAAAAAATATTGGTGTGCTTCTTCACCTTTCAAGTGATGTGATTTTAGATTCCAAACTTTCAAAAGTAATGTTTTGCATCCCTAACTTATTTGAAATTTTGAATTTGGATATCTACGTGATAAAATTTGTGTGAAAATATGTGCAAGCTTAACATTAACATTGAAGATTTCCATCATGTAAGGATCTAAATTCACATATAAATAAGTTGAAGGTCCATATCTCAAATTTGAAGGTCTGAAATCCAAAACCACACTACTTGACAGGTTAAGGAGCTCATCCCCAATTTTTCCTGAATAAAAATAATGGATCGTGGGACACTACTTCCTCTAGGTGATATTTGATGAGCCCTAATCCCATACCCAAGAAATGACATAATAATAATAATAATAATAATAATAATAATAATAATAATAATAATAATAATAATACATATTCATTCTATGATTAAAATAAAAACATGGATATTAATACGATTGGTTGTAATCTCGAAATATTAGTAAATAAATAAATATCCAAATGAAAAATGACATGAAAAGATTTCTCCATACATAAATAGCTTTTAAATGTTGCTAAGCTACGATTTACGAGTTCAGATAATAAATATATAGTAAATATAAATTCTACAAAATATGTAAATAAAATTTCAAGCTTACGCAAACCGAATTCTTATACATTTAACATTAACAAATAAAAATTATACAAAAAACAAATCTTCATATTTCATCATCCATTATGTCACCCACCCACTCACTCCACGGCGCGCTCCCACCTTAAACACACCCCCTACGAATCATACGCTATTTCAACGCTCATATTTCCCATAAGATTCAACACGCTAAGCAAGACTCCATCTCATGATACAAGCAGCAGTAGCTGGACTGTGGTCTGTGCACAAACATATAAATACACCGAATGAATAAGCCGCCAAAAACAAGTAATTTGAACCTTAATAAATCAAAAGATTTGTCTGTTTTTGTTCCTTTAAAATGGATAAGAACAAGGATTTATCATCTTCTTCACAAACTGGGTATGATCAGTTAAAGTATAAGGGTGTTAGGAAGCGAAAGTGGGGGAAATATGTGTCGGAAATAAGGCTACCCAATAGCCGGGAAAGGATTTGGTTAGGGTCCTACGACACGGCTGAGAAGGCAGCCAAGGCGTTCGACGCCGCCCTGTTCTGCCTCCGAGGCCGCCACGCGAAGTTTAATTTCCCAGATGATCCGCCGAACATTGCAGGCGGACAATCACTCGCTCCTCCGGAAATACAAGTTGTTGCTCAACAGTATGCTAATAACAGTAGCAGCAGTACTCAGCACCCACCAACAGGTACTTTTATAAATCATTAGAGATGGGACAAATTTATTTACACGAGTTTTGTCTTTAGATATATATGAAATTACTCGTTTAGTTTATTTAAATTTTATCTTCAACAGAATTAGAGGATGCATCGCCATCACCGAACTCGGAGGGGGCCGATACAATGGACTCGATCGATTGGTCATTCTTGGAAATGTTAGATAAAGATGATGTTGGTAATTTCACAGATTTTGGCTTATTTCCTGATCTAGATGAAACGTACATTCCACCAAATTTTGCATTCAAAGACGATGACAACAATGAAGACAACCACGGCAATGATGATAACGGGGGAAACTTTTCTCAATCGTCTCTATGGAACTTCTAAACAACAAACTGAAGGACTAAAAATACCTAGATTAAAAAAATTATGTTTGGCTTTTCTTAAAACCACCTTTTGAATAATATCAAGTGCGATATACCGAAATAAGCCGCTTCTTTGCTGAAGAAGCAAGGACAAACATGCTTTTTAATTTTTAGGGATTGGATATTATTAGCTGGCCGTCGACGTCTTTCAGGTTATCCATTCTGAATGTTTTTGCCTTGGAGTTACTTTGATTGTCGATGGACGAATAGTTTTTCTAGGACATATTAGTATTTATTAATAGACGTTGTGTGTAGTATTGTACGATCTACTAAGTGAATATCATATTCGTATTTGAATAAATTATCCTTGTTAGAAATTCAATGCATCAGAAATCGACTGTTCACTGTGTATTCTACCTGATCTACATTCAAGCAAAATAATTTGGAAATATCTAAGGCGTGTTTGGACAGTTAGAGACAATTTGACATAGTTGACATGATCAAGATTTGAAAAACATGTAGTCTTAAGAATTTAAGCTTCTGAAAAATTAAAAAATTAATTTATTTACATGCATGCGGTCAATATATCATGCACATTAGATTTATTTTCCCACAAAATTGGCTTTTTAGAATTTTATAAGTAATGTGTAAACATGACATTCAATTATTCAAATACAATATTAATTTCATGTAACATTTTAAAGTATACAAGACATTACTATTGCTTGGAACCTATTTTCTAAAAAAAATTCATATTCCGAAAGTTTTTAGATGAAGTCACATTGAATTAACTTTCTTTAAAAAAAAAATTCCAATTAAAAGAAATATTTTAATAAAATTAACCAAATGAGTTTAAAAACAACTTTTTTATCTCAAATTTTTCTTTTGGTTTCTAAAAAGTCGTGACCAACGGATCCTATAAATATATAGTACTATCTATGCGTGAAAAGTGAACATCAAATTGAGAATACATCAGTCCGAGAGTAACCTAAAACTCATCTACCTTCGAGATCAAATTTCGTTGATATTTGTGATAATTTCTTTATCAGTCACGGTTCGTAAAAGTAACGACAACGGATTTTTCATTAGAAAATTTCCATCGCATATGATCAAGAATATTTGAGATTTTTTGCTTATAAGAAATTTTTTTTTTTTTATTTGGACTTTTGCTAAATGAAAATTGGTTCCCTTGGTCCTTTTTTTTGTAGTCGTATTAAAATAACGAAAAAATAGATTTCTTTGAAATATTTGGACAGACCTTCAACCTTGACAATTATTTTCGTCCAATTATATAGTTTATATGAATTGTTTTATTCTTAAAAACGGCAATACTCGTAATACACGCGAGTGCTTCAACGACCACCATAATAGACTTAATTAGAAGAATATTTCTTACGACTTGTTAAACTCGTGTGGGTGTATGGATTAGAGGGTTCATTGACTTTATAACCTAAAAAAGACTTAGTCCTTATTCGTTAAGGATTAAAATTAAAAATTTAATTTTAATAATTAATTTTAACCACAGATTTTATGAAATCCACAGCTTTTCAACTATACTTTTATAAAATTAACCAAACGAGTTCAAAAACAACTTTTCATTACCTTTTATCAAAATTTACTAAGAATCTGATTTTAATCCCTATCTAATAGAAGTCTAGCTAGCCAGCTATAGGGTGGGTCCAAGGGTGTAGGTAGAAGACAATCGTGAGCAAAAAGACCTAGCTGGCTATAGGATCGATTCATGGCGAGGATGATAGGAACGGTCATGGACTTTAGTCGAGGACAGCGCTAGCCTAGCAAGTTTTTAAGTGTGAAAGAATAATTTTTTGTACAAATTTTCTTTTATGTAGAAATTCAGTGTAAAAAGAAAAAAAAAATTGTCTCTCCTGGCACCACCCTTGAATAGAGACATTGACTTCTTTTCTCATTTCATGCCTCACGAAAATTAAATCCCCTGGTTGACGGTCATACTTTTCGAAAAATGAATTTTAACCAGTGAGGTTTAGAAGAATCTGTGCTTTAAAAGTAAGGAAAAATTTTGAGTTTACGTACATACGTGAATATATAGTTGAAAATAAATATGTATAAAAGAAGTTTGTAAAGTAAGATTATCAAACAGAGACTAAATAAGGTCAAAGAATTGGTTTCAGACTACGTGCTTGACTGTGTTTAATTAATTTTTAATTTTTGACTTTAAAAGTCTTAAGGCAAAGATAGAAGTGGGTAGGCAGTCAAACCTCAAAAACTTGCCAATTTTTGGAAGTAAAAGGTGGGAAAACGACCATGTCAATTAGCCACCGCGGCTCTCAGTGCTACCGGCCAATGACCCGTCATCCATGGCAAATTTATTCTTAGTTGAAGACGTACGTACTAGGTAGGACAACTTTTTAATTTGACAATTATGTTATAATAAGTTGAAAAGTAAAAATCATTATCACATACCTTTCGGTGAGACAGTTTAAAGTGAATTTAAGGGGTTTTAGATGTGAATCGTGTTGAGGTACGATATTTAGTAGATCGAGTTGAACCACTAGGCTCGTAGATTATCGGGCTCGGTTCAATCCACGCGATTCAGCCCATGCGTTTATATGGGCAAGCCGAGTGCTATTTTTAAATTACTTTAATTTCAAGAATTAAAAATTAACATTCTATCCTGAAGTATAATAATGGCATATATTCGTAAGAAAATTTTATTTAAAAAAAAAATCTCCTTATCCCTTATCCAAATTTAGGACCAACTACATGATATTTAGGAGTTAAAATTGTACACAAAATAATATTTTGTATACGAATTTTTTGTATAAAAAGCATACTCAAAATACTACTTTAGTGGTCCAAAATGACACATCTGAAAAGATGTAGGAAGACCACCTTCACATTCTTGATGCAATGGACAAACTCATTTTTCTATTGAGATTGTAATATTGGCTAAGCAATATAATACATCTCGATCTATTATATGATTTATCCTAATAGACCTCACATCTAGAAGTGTTTATAAAGTCATGGGTGCTACATTCAAGTCCTGAGCTATATATACTAGACAATATCAGTATTGATATCACTGTACATTTCACCATTGAAGTAAATAAAAGAAGTCTGTCTCTACTAATGTCTAGACCCATGTAGGTACTCCAAGCATAAGAGATTCGTACAATATTTTGAAGTCGAGAAAAATTAAATCTATATATTTGAAAAATTCACCACACTATAGTCTTAAAATATCAATGATCAAAGATACACTTATGAGAGAAAACAATTAGGAAATATCATGTGATGCATTAATTTTGTTCATAAATTCAAAATGTGAAATTTAAATAATTTTGAATTAATTGAAAAGCAAGGTTCGGCCTCACGAAATTTGAGACAGGGATCAACATTGCAGCTAAAAAATAATAATTTGTACATATCTAAAATATTTTTAAAAGTATTTTTGGTCTCGACACATGCTTGGAATAACGAATAATCTTTGCCTCGGTACAGTAAGAAGGCTAAAGAAATATTAAATGTGAAAAACAAGATTCACAATGCATAAAAAGATAAAAAAATGTTTAACAGATTATAAAATAAAATGCATACATTTCGCTCATTACCAGTCCAAACAAGTTCATTTTGAAATTTATGACAAAAATTAATTATCTCATTTCAATAATGAATCAAAGTCTCAAAACTATTATAACTAATATTCAAAATTTATGTTGAAAAAAAAAATTGAATTTCATCAATTTTTTTTTTTTTTTTTTTTTTTTGGAGAATATGAGAAAAGCGTTTATGCCTCCATATTTTTGATTTTGCACTTCTCAATTTATCTAAGCCCTATTGAGCCCCATTCTCTAAAAACATATTTCTCCAAATTCATTTCAACAACACGTTTTTTGAGTAAAATAATTTTGTTCATAAATTCAAAAATTTTCCTACTATTTAATTATACTTTCTCTAGAAAATCATTATTTCCAAATTTATTTTTCACAAAAAGGGCTCAAACATAGCCTAAATGACATTTCTATGCGTAAGCAATAGATTGTATCATTGACGGTAACAAATTAACATACCAGACATATAGAAACACTCTTTTAGAACGAAAAGAAAAACTAATTACAGCAAATATCATAGTTACTATTGTTAACCACACATGCAGTACATGTGTTGTAAAATTTTGTTTCACAAGTGTACGAACTGTAATAAGTAATAGTGAACCTAAGAGTCCGAATTGTCGATCTCACAAGGACTATTTTCTAGCACTTAATTCAATTTTTCTTTAACTACTATTTGATTGAAATAAATTAAAAGTTGTATGATTTGAGTTTAAATCTAAATTCTAGAAAATAAATAGATGTTCACATGATTGGTTGGAAAATCAAATAATGAATGGATGTTAGGGCAAAACTTTGCCTATTGATCACCTTTATATCTCAAATTAAAACTCAATTCTAATGTAGTGCTCGGTCGAATTTTCCTATTGTATTCAATTTACCTTTCTCGAGTTCTCATTGAGCCTATTCAACTAATTAAATTACATATCTCTGTGCAAATTCAACTTAATTAAACGAGTTCTTTGTCCTAGGAATTCAATTATGAAAGCAATAAATGGTATAGGTATCTCTACTCATTATAACAATGTACTGAATTTTACTACATGGTCTAAATCCTAAACTCATATCTCTATTTGTAAAGAATTCACAAAAATAATCAAATTATTGATCAGATAATTTAATGCATTCAACTCATAGCAAAATCAACACATGAAAAAAAATAAAAACTAAGAATCTTAATAAGAAAATGTAAAGGATCCAAATTGGTTACATTATTCGCTCTAACAATAAATTTAATTATTCATAATGCAAGAAGAAATATAGCAAATTGTCTTAGAATATATCATCGGATTTGTAATAAAGATATAGAAGAAAAAGTAAAACTCATGCATCAAGATCTTCTTCCCCTTCCAATCAATGCTTCAAATCTTTAATGGCTTGGTGTTATTCTCCTTGAATTTATCTTTTTGAATCTCCCTTTTTGTTATCTTGCCTCCCAATGTGTATAGAATCCTTCAAAAGTATGATAAAGATTGTATTTATAGGTGCTCCCTCCATTTTATGTAGAAGTATGGTTTTTATGGATTTTAAAACGTCCCAAAAATGCGCCCTACACGACCCAGACGTAGCGCCTAAGCGCTACTAGCCAGCGCCTAGGCATCGCGTCAATTTAACTACAGCGCCTAAGCGCTACGTCTGCAGTGCTTGGGCGCTATTATTGCAGTGTTTAGGCACTGCCTCTTGGGTTCAAATTTCATTTTTTTAGTTTTGTAGCGCCTGGGCGCTACGAATGCAGCCTCTAAGTGCTTTCTTTCTGCCCCAATTTCCTTATTTTTGGCCTCTTCATTCACTTTAGTACCTTTTTTG